TTGATTTCCATTAACTCTTAAACCCACGCCAATCAGATGGTCATGCTTTCCTCTAGTTCTCCATAGAAACTGCTTTTGTCAAGTTCATCAATGATATCCATGTCGCTAAAACCAATAGCCAATGCTCAGCCCTATTTCATGATTTGGCTGTGTCTGACACAGTTGATCACTCCTTCTTGAAACTCTTTACTTGACTTCCTTTTTTTCTTTTTTGAGATGGAGTCTTGCTCTGTCACCCAGGCTGGAGTGCAGTGGCGCGAACTCAGCTCACTGCAACCTCTACCTCCCAGGTTCAAGCAATTCTCCTACCTCAGCCTCCCAAGTAGCTGGTACTACGGGCATGTGCCACCACATACAGCTGATTTTTGTATTTTTAGTAGAGACAGGTTTCACCATGTTGGCCAGGCTGGTCTCAAACTCGTGACCTCAAGTGATCCACCCACCTCAGCTTCCCAAAAGTGCTGGGATTACAGGCGTGAGCCACCGTGCACAGCTACTTGGCTTTCAGAAAGCCACAGTTACCTTGCTTTCCTCCACCTTGTTTTCTTTCCTGGATCCTCTCATCCTCGTCTCTTATCCATCTATACCCACTTCCCTTGTGCCTCCAGTGTTAATGGCTCTGAATACTTCATTCATGCTCCTTGCATGGAGATGGGACTCTCCCAAACAGACCTTCAGGCTAGACCTCTCCCTTAAATTCCAGGCTTGTATATCCAACTGCCTCCAAGACATTTCCACTTGGATGCCTAATAGGCATCTCAATCCAGACTCCTAATATCTTCTCCCCTTCCTCCCTGCTAATCCCCGTGAAACCTGCTCCTCCAACAGTCTCTCTATCTCAGTAAACAGAACTTCATCCTCCCAGCCACTCAGGCCAAAAACTGCTAGAGCTGTAACTGTCCATCACTAGCCACTACCACATGGAAGTCTAAACAATTTTTTCCCGTTCATGCATTCCTTGATTCATCAGTCACCAAAACATTCACCAAGTACCTATTGAATGCCACACACTCTGCCTAGTTTGCAAGTATAGAAACAATTAAGAAGCTTGCCCTCAAGGAACTCTTAGTCAAATAAACAAGAGTTCAGAGTGATCCACAGGTAAGAATACTCACACAGGCCTCTACGATTCTGTTGTCTAAGAGCAGGAACTATGTAACGTTAACGTAATTAAAGCTACCAGAGTTGATTTTTTTCTTTTCTTCTTTTTTTTTGACACCCTTTCTTGCCTGAAGAGCTACCTAAGATTATGAGTTCAGTTCCTTAGTTGCACAGGTCACCTTCACGTGCTTCACGGCCACATGTGGTTGGTGCTGTGCTACTGGACAGTGCAGATCTAGAATATTTCCAGCATGGCACAGGGTTCTACTGGACAGTGCCACCGTGGTTATTCTTGTCCTCTCTCATCCAACATTCTGAACCATCAGCAAATCCCACTGGTTCTACCTTCAAGATATATCTAGAGCCACTGCTCCTCACCACCTTGTTTGCCGGGGCCGCATCTCGTCCCTGGATTACTGCAGCACCTCTCAGCGATGCCAGCTTCCACCTTGCCCCAGTTCTATGTGTTATGCCCCAGTAACACATAGTAGCCATGGAAATCAAATCATGACCTGCCTTTGCTTGGCTCAAAAGCCACCCGTGACTCTCATCTTTTTTTCTTTCTTTTTTCTTCTTTTTTTTTTTTGTGACAGGGTCTTGCTCTGTAGCCCAGGTTGGACTGCAGGGGTGCAGTCATGGCTCACGTCATCTCTTTTTTTTTTTTGAGATGGGAGTTTCACTCTTTTTGCCCAGGCTGGAGTGCAATGGCGCGATCTCGGCTCACTGCAACCTCCACCTCCCGAGTTCAAGCGATTCTCCTGCCTCAGCCTCCCAAGTAGCTGGGATTACAGGCGCCTGCTACCACGCTTGGCTAATTTTTTATTTTTAGGAGAGACAGGGTTTCACCACATTGGCCAGGCTGGTCTCGAACTCCTGCCCTCAAGTGACCCGCCTGCCTCAGCCTTCCAAAGTGCTGGGATTACAGGCGCGAGCCACTGCACCTTGCCCTTTTTTTTTCCTTCTGAGTCAGGGTCTCACTTTGTAGCCCAGGTTGGACTGCAGTGATGTAGTCATGGCTCACTGCGCCTTGACCTCTCAAGCTCAAGCCTCAGTCCCCCAAGTGCTGGGATTACAGGCGTAAGCCACCACACTCAGCTGACCCTCATCTCTTACAGAGGTAAGTCTAGACTTCACAGCAGCCAGTGGCACCATCTGGTCCCCATGGTCTCTGACTTCACTGTGTATTCACTTCCTAAGGCACTGCTCCAGCTACATTGGCCTCCTGGATGTCCTCCCGGCTGTCTTCCCACGTGCCTGGCACTCCTGCCTCAGGGCTCACTGTAACTTCCGCCTCCCAGATTCAAGCGATTCTCGTGCTTCAGCCTCCTGAGTAGCTGGGATTACAGGCAAGTGCTAGCACGCCAGGCTAATTTTTGTATTTTTAGTAGAGACAGGGTTTCACCATGTTGACCAGACTGGTCTCGAACTCCTGACCTCAGGTGATCCACCCGCCTCAGCCTTCCAAAATGTTGGGATTACAGGCATGAGTCACCTCGCCTGGCCACCCGAACACTCTTCACACAAATATACATAATGACTCATACAGTCATCCCCTTCCAGTTTTTATTCAAATGTCACTTTCTCAGTGAGGGCTTCTCCAAAGATCCTACTGCTACTTACCCTGGCCCCATATTCCGTTTCTCTGCTTATCTTCTCCATCACACGTTACCATATAACTTTGTATTTTGTTTTCTTATTTATTGTCTGTGACATAAGAAATACATAGTTGGTGTCTGTCCCTGGTTTCTGACAGTCTTAAACCCTCATAATTTCTGGAGTGATGTAGGCAACAGAAGCGTCTTACATACAGCTCCTAATCTCTTGAATTTCCTAGGTGATAGCAGCATCGTTTGTTCTGCTCAAGTGACTCTTGGTGGTCTCCTGGATGGGCACTGGTCACCAGCGAGACTAGGCCATGATTGGGAGCTTAAGAGCTTTCGGCCTCACCCACCCCCTCCAGTCCTTGGGGAGGGAAAAAGGGGTGGAGACTGAGTTAATAAGTGATCACGACTACATGACGTAGCCTCCAGAACAATCCCTAAAATATGGGGTTTGCAGAGCTTCCAGGCTGGTGAATGCATCTATGCACTGATAGGCTGCTGCATCCCAACTCCCATGGAGACAGAAACTTCTGCACTTGGGACCCTTCTGGACCTCACCCTATCCCTATCTACCTCTTCATCTGGCTATTAACCTATTTCCTTCATACTCTCCTTTATAATAAACCAGTATGTTTCCCCGAGTTATTCGAGCTATTCCAGCGAATTACTGAGCTGGGGGGCTGCAGGTTGAAGGAGCCCCGGACTTGCGACTGGTGTCTGAAGTGGGGTCAGTCTTGTGGGCCTGAGCTCTTAAAGCTTGTGTAGTGTGACGCTAACCCTGGGTTGTTTATTTTAGAATTGAATGAATTATAGGACACTCAACTGGTATCTGGGAGAGTTGGAGAATCGGTTGGTATGGGGGCAGGAGGTAGAATCCCACACATTTAGTGTCAGAAATGTTGGGAGTAGACAAACAGTTTTCTGGCCAGGAGCGGTGGCTCACGCCTATAATCTCAGCACTCTGGGAGGCTGAGGCAGGCAATCACTTGAGGTCAGGAGTTTGAGACCAGCCTGGCCAACATGGCGAAACCCTGTCTCTACTAAAAATACAAAAATTAGCTGGGCATGTTGGCATACGCCTTTGTAGTCCCAGCTATTTGGGAGGCTGAGGCATGCGAATTGCTTGAACCCAGGGGATGAAGGCTAGAGTGAGCCAAGATTGTGGCACTGCACTCCAGCCTGGGCGGCAGATCAGGACTCCATCTCAAACAAAAAAAAAAAAAAGAGAGAAACAGTTTTCTTTTACTGTCCACTGGAATCTAAGTTTCATGTGAGTACCATACAAACTTTTTGTCTCTTATTTCTTCATTGGGATCTCTACAGTGCCTTGAAAATACATGACAAAATAGTAAACACTCAATAAATATTTGCTGAATGAACAAATTAATAAAGGGAAATAGACCAGTGAACAAGAATGAGTACATGCTCAGAAGGAGCTTCCCTTTCAGGTAGGAAAAGCAAAACCAAATTAAAAAATGAGTTAACGGCTGGGCGCGGTGGCTCACGCCTGTAATCCCAGCACTTTGGGAGGCCGAGGCGGGTGGATCACTTGAGGTCAGGAGTTTGAGAACAGTCTGGCCACAAGGTACAACCCCGTCTCTACTAAAAATACAAAAATTAGACACGTATGGTGGTACATGCCTATAATCCCAGCCACTTGGGAGGCTGAGGCAGGAAAATTGCTTGAACCTGGGAGGCGGAGTTTGCAGTCAGCTGACATCACACCACTGCACTCCAGCCTGGGCCTTGGAGTGAGATGCTGTCTCCAAATAAAATAAAATAAAATACAATAAATCAAAACAAAACAAGTCCTGCTGGTATGCAGAGAATGGGCTAGAGTGGAGAGGCCAAGGAGAGGCGGGGGGCTGCTCCACTGATCCAGACATGAGGTAGGGGTGACTGGGACCACAGAGAAGGCAGCTTCATGAGATATTTAGGAGTTGAAAAGTCTGAGAGTTGGAAATGAAAATGAATTGGAAGTGGAGGAGGAGTCAGATTCCAAGGTTTCTGGTTTGAACTGCTAGGTGGATGGTGCTGCTCTTTCTGGTAGGAGGAAAGCCTTGGGGAGGAACAGCCTCTGAAGGCAAAATGGAGGACTCTATTTGAGGGTGCCTTCTGCAGGTGGAAATGTCAAGGAGACAGCCAGTAACCTGAGGGGGTATCTGGGTTCCCATCTAACTTGCACTGCGGTAGCTATGCCTAACTGTCATTATGCGGGCCATATTCATCTGGGCATGTGTGGGCTTGCTGCACCTCCAACCTGACTTAGTAGTGACCACCTTCAGAAATGAAACAATCCAGAGTTGAAATATATTCTTTATTTTCACAATGGAAATAGGATAGGGAAGGAGGAAAGAGATCCCTTTGTTAGTCGCCACTGCAGTACCATCGAAAGAATATCCTGGGGAAACAAAGAGGTATGTGTGTTACAGGAGGGGTTGGGGACTAGAAACTTAAGTCCTGGAGGCCTGGACACCAGGGTCGAAAAGGTGGACAAGGGCCTGGACTCCTGGGTCTGAGGGAGGAGGGGCTGGGGCCTGGGCTTCTGGGTCTCAGGGAGGAGGAACCTGGGTGCCTGGACTCTTGGATCTGAGGGAGTAGGGGCTAAGGCCCTGGACTCCTGGGTCTGAGTGAGGAGAGGTGTGGAGGCCTGGACTCCTGGGTCCGAGGGAGGAAGGGCTGGGGACCTGGATTCTTAGATCTAAGGGAGGTGCGAGCTGGGGACTTGAGATTCCTGGGCTGAGTAAGGAGGGGCTGGGACCTGGACTCGTGGGTCTGAGAGGGAAGGGACTGAGAGCCCGACCTCCTGGGTTGGAGGTTGGTGGGAACCCAGATTTCTCGGTGGGATCTGAGAGAGCGGGGAGCTAGATGCTGGGGCGCCGGGGTACCGAGGACACACCACGCCAACACGGTCGCACTCGCTGATGCGAGGGCCCCGAGGGCTGCAAGCAGGAACAGGTTGCTGGGCGTCAGAGCCTCGGGCCTGACCAGCAGCTCGCCCAGGCTGGGCCTCCAGGGCTTGATCAGCTCGGCGTCCCGCGGCGCCCAGCGCAGCACTTCCCGGAACGAGGCCTGCAACTCTGTCTCCGCCCGCGGGGGCGGGCCCGTCACTGCAGGGCCGCGCACGTCAGTCAGGCACGAGCCCCACCCCCTCGCCCCGCCCTCTCCCCGCCCCGCTCGCTCGCGCCGCCGCGCCCCGCCCCACCGTTAAGAAAGAAGTAGAGCCGGGCCAGGGGGCGCTGGTCTTGCTTGATCACGCAGGAGAACGTGCCGCGGTGCGTAAGCTGTGCCGGACGGATCCGCGCCAGGTATCCTTCGGCCCGCGGCATATCTCGGAAATAGGACAAGTCCTGAGTCCGGAGCTGCGAGACGCGCGGGCTTAAACTCCTCAACTCCGGCTTGCCACTGAGTAACCTACAAGCCCCGCCCCCCGAGCTAGACCACGCCTCCTGGAGTCCCGGCCCTGAGCCTTCAGCAGCCCGCCTCCGAGCCTTCTACTTGCTCCTTTGCCGTAAACGCACCCCTTCCCCTCACTCCTTAAACCCTTACGCATAACCTACCCCTAGAACCTGCTTTTATTTATGTATGTGGTGTTTATTCTTTTTTCTTTTCCAGACAAGGTCTCGTTTTGGCGCCCAGGCTGCAGTGCAGTGGCGTGATCATAGCTCACTGCAGCCTCGAACTCCTGGACTTAAACAATCTTCCCGCTCAGCCTCCCCAGTGTCTGGGACTATAGGCGTGCACCACCACGCCCGGCTGTTTTTAAAATTTTTTGGTAGAGGTGGGGTCTTAGTATGTTGCACAGGCCGGTCTCGAACTCCTGGTCTCAAGCCATCCTCCCGCCTTGGTCTCCAAAAGCGCTGAGATTACAGTTGTAAGCCACCGCCCCAGGTCCTTGGTCCTGCATTCTGATCTTCGAGCTCTCCCCTAAATCCCGGGACCCTCCTCTTGCTGATGCCTGTGTCTAGACGGAGCTTCGCGGAGTCCAGTCCCCGCAAGCTGTCTCCCCAACCTCTAGTGAAGCCTAACTCCCCGTCTAAACGCTTCGCGCCTGCCCCGCCCCGACTCACACCTCCTCCTGCGAACTTCCAGGAATAGGTGATCTCCTCCTTTGGCAGCGGGAAGTTCACGATGCAAGAAAACATAGCTTGGTCGCCCCGAATCACTGTCACATCCTGAACTGAAGACGGAGCTGAGTTCACTCGCTGGGCCCTGCCCACGTCTGGCTCGCCACCAGCCAGCTCATGCCCCTCGGTGCTCTGGTCCTGTTTCTCAAGTTAGTCTCCTGCACCCCGAGGTCCCGCCCCTTCACCTGGGCAGTCCAGCGGGAGGTCGCAGACCCTGGAGTAGCACCCGCTGCAGAGGAAACGCCGGGCGAACTCCTGGAGACCTGTGGGGCGGGAACGCTGCGTCAGGCGCCACCTGCCCGCCCAAGCCCGGGGCCCTTGGCCCATTTGAGATCCGTGTAGCTTCCCAGGGTCCATAGGCCAGGTGGCATCTTGACCTCGCCCTCCCTGCTCTCCTTGGCCGACTTTCACGCCTCTCCGCCCTCTAGGGTTCCTATTGGTTTGCTTCGGCTCTCACACCCGAAGATTTAGAGCAATACCTGGTTTACTTCCTTTTCTCCAGGCCTTATTGGCCTCCTAAGGATTTGAAGCCCACCCGATTTCCCCCACTTGATGTCGTAGGTTTCGGCCCCGACCGCCTCCCTTACCCCGCAATTCCAAGTTTTAGATGAAGTCCTTACCGCAGGGAGGGAAGCAGGCCTGGGCTGTGGAAGAAGAGGACACATCACTACCTTAAAGTCGTGGGAAGAACCCTGCCTGATGCTCCCCTAACGGATGTTACAAGGCCGGACGCATTGCTCCCAGGAGGTAGGGCCAAGCTTTCGTCACAACCTGGGGGCGGGGCCAAGCCTGAGCATTCCATTACAAGGTCAGGCCCAGGCCTGCTGCCAGCCTTCTACTTGGGGTTTAGGGGGAGCCACACTGGTTTGCTGTAGGCCCTGAGGGGGATGGGCAGTCCAGGTGTATTCCACCGAGGAGGCGGGGCTAGATCCTGGGCGATCCTTGCAGGAGACCGGGGCTAAGGTGGTGGCCCACTAAAAGAGGCGTGGCCAGGCTAGAAGTAGTCCCAGAAAGGGGCTCAGTTGGAGGGGAAACTTCTTCGAAGGGGCGGGGCTGGATCAAAAATGGTCCATGCAGGGTAAGAGCCCCTCCTCAAGGTCTGAGGCTCAAGAGATGGGACCAGGGGATTGAAGGGAAGTGGATGGGGGTCTCAGGAGTGGGTTTTGTTTTGAGATGGAGTCTTGCTCTGTCACCCAGGCTGGAGTGCAGTGGCACAATCTCCGGTCACTGCAACCCCGCCTCCAGGGTTCAAGCGATTTTCCTGCCTCAGCCTCCTGAGTAGATGAGATTACAGGCATGCACTACCATGCCCAGCTAATTTTTATATCTTTGGTAGATACGGGTATCACCATGTTGGTAAGACTGGTTTTGAACTCCTGACCTCAAGTGATGTGCCCGCCTCAGCCTCCCAAAGTGTTGGGATTACAGGCGTGAGCCAACCTGCCCGGCCAAAAGTGGGGTTTTCTAATTGTGTCTGGGAGAGGAGAGATGGAGCGTATTTTACCTTCTTTAAGCTGTGTAATGACCTTCTTCATTTTCTCTGCAGCATCAGGGAAGGCAACCTCAAAGGATCCTGGAGAGTGGAGGGGAGGACGGCCTGTGTAGTAAAGCCCTTCCCCTAGGGCTTGGTCCTTGGTCCTGCATTCTGATCTAGCCTGGCTAGGGCTATGCCAGCCCTAGCTCACAGGACGTGCTGTCAGGTATCTGCCCTTCCCCGGCCCCTCTTCACCCCTCTCTTATTACCATATCCTCTGCTCCTCTTCTTATCTCTCGCCTTGTGTACTTGAAGGCTAACAAGTCCCTAAGTCTCCTTTCTTCTGCCTCCTGAATCTCTCCAGGATGAAAGCCCTCCTGGACACCTGCGTGTGGCTTGTTGCGGGGAGAAGGGGAGGATAAAGATAAAATTCCTCCGCAAGGCCTATTAGGTCTTACGTGGTTTGGCCTAGTTCCCCCTCCCTCCCTGTCCCATCCCTACTGCCCACTTTTCATTTCCTTTATTTTATTTTTTTGAGACAATGTCTCACTGTCACCCAGGCTGGAGTGCAGTGGCGTGATCTCGGCTCACTGCAACCTCCGCCTCCTGAGTTCAAATGATTCTCCTGCCCTAGCCTCCCGAGTAGCAGGGACTGCAGGAATGCGCCACCACGCCTGGCTAATACTTGTGTTTTTAGTAGAGATGGAGTTTCACCATGTTGGACAGGCTGGTCTCGAACTCCTGACCTCAAGTGATCCACCCACCTCAGCCTCCCAAAGTGTTGGGGTTACAGGCATGATCCACCATGCCCGGCCTCATTTCCTTTCATATGAAAACAACCACATTCTCTAGCACCTCAGGGCCTTTGCACATGCTGGCTTCGGTTTTTAACACATTTTTCCTTCTCCTAATCATCCTTCCATCACCACAGATCTAACCAAGTTCCCTGTTTTTGTCTCTCATTGCAATCATTTCATTCCTAGCTCTCATCCGTCTGCAATTACATATATTTATATATAGATGATGATCACGTATGTCTGTCTCGTAAGTAAACAAACATGTTCTTCTGTAGCGCTGTGTCCTCTGAATCCTGGAGAGGACCCTGAGTCTTAAAAGTGCTCAGTTAGTATTTGTACAATGAATTCCAGGATCCAACTCAAACTAGAGACCCCAACTGGTGGCCTATGGCCCAAATCCATCCCTGGGATGTGTTATATTTGGCCTGGAAAGTGTTTAAAAGAAAATGAACCAGTTGCCAACATATAAAATTTGGAATGTCACATAAAACATTTGGCATCTTTTTACAAAGTTCGAAGAGCTGTAACACAAAGATCGTATTTCCATAAGGCAGCGAATAGCTAGAGATGAGTAGCAGCCATTCCCTTGAAATGGGGCACACACTGGCCACTTCCATGGTCCCCATCCTCTATTCACTTCTGTATTTACCCATCTTTTACTCTTTTATCTTCCTTGTCTTTCTAGGTGTTTTTGTTTTGAGATAGAGTTTCGCTCTTTGCCCAGGCTGGGGTACTGTGGCGTGATCTTGGCTCACTGCAACTTCCACCTCCCAGGTTCAAGTGATTCTCCTGCCTCAGCCTCCCCAGTAGCTAGGATTACAGGCACCCACCACCATGCCCAACTAATTTTTGTATTTTTAGTACAGATGGAGTTTCAGCACGTTGGCCAGGCTGGTCTCAAACTCCTGACCTCAAGTGATCTGCCCACCTCAGCCTCCCAAAGTGCTGGGATTACAGGTATGGGCCACCATGCCTGGCCTTGTGTTTTGACCACTGCAGTGGTCTCCAAATCCAAACTGTATGGGTTTGTGGCTTGTTCCAGTGGAATAAGAAAAAGTAGACAGCTGACTTGATCTCGTGGTGGTTTGTGGAAATCAGAAATGTGGCAGGGTTTTATAGGCTAAATTGTGCCCCCCCCCAAGCAAATTTGTATGTTGAAGTCCTAACTCTCAGTACCTCAGAATGTGACTGTACTTGGTTCTTAACGAGGTGATTAAGTTAAAATGAGGTCATTAGGGTGGGCCGTAATGCTGTATGATTGGTATCCTTATGAGAAGAGGAAATTAGGACACAGAGATGCACACAGGGACATATGAAGAAAGCATCTACAAGCCAAAGAGAGAGGCCTTAGAAGAAACCAACCCTGCTGACACCAAAACCTTGATCTCAGACTTCCGGAAGGCAGAAACTTCTGTTGTTCAAGTCACCCAGTCTACGGTACTTTGTTACAGTGGTCCTAGCAAAGCAATACCCAGGAATTGTCCATTGCCTCCAAATATCTGTATATCGATATCCACAGAACACAGATAAAAGGCTTCATCTCCCAGCCTGCCTTGCAGTTGTGGTCATGTGACCAAGCTATAACCATAGGATATAAATGGATGTGTTATATGTGAGTCACAGGAGGTAGCCTTAAAAGGGAGGTAGTACCGCACCTGGAATCCCCGCTACTCTGGAGGCTGAGGTGACAGGATCACTTGAGGCCAAGAGTTCAAGATAAGCCTGGGCAACATATCAAGACACCATCTCTAAACAAATTGTTATAGATTAGCCAAGTGTGATGGCATGTGTCTGTAGTCTTAGCTACTCAGGAAGCTGAAGTGGGTGGATGGTTGAACCCAGGAGTTTGAGGCTGTAGTGAGCTATGAATGCACCACTCTACTCCAGCCTGGGCAATATAGCAAGACTCTGTCTCTAAAAAACAGAGAGAGGGTGGTGCCATCTTATTGTTCCCCTCATCCATCCTGCTGCCTGAAAATTTGTTTCGATGGTTGGAGCTCTAGCAGCCACACAGGACCATGAGGACAAGGGCTATTCCCTGGGATATTAAGCCTTCAAGGAGCTTGGATCCCCAAGAAATGGAGGTGCCATACTACCCTTAAGTGCCTACCTCAAGACTTACTTTATATAGGAAAGATAACCTTCCTATGGGCTTAACCCATTGCAAGGACAGGGGAAAGCGTCCTCTGTGATTAAAGCCATACAAAAAGGGAGGGAACTGAGGATATTGGCAAGAGAGTGGCTGAAACGACGATCATTGGATATACACTTGGAGGGAGGAAGCACTGATGCCGAGAAGTGAGTTTCAGATGAGGACCTAGTGGTCTCTCCTTGGCCACAGAGCAGGAGTGTGGTCTCAATATGGCAGGATGATCAGGAGCATGTGGTCAGACTGGGGTGCACAAATGAAATGCCAGGATGTTGCAGGAATCATCCAAAGAATTTCTATGGGCCAAATCAAAGGACTCATGGGCAGGGTGAATGTGGGATATACCAAGTAAGTCATGGTGGTGGGTTGGGCTTATAACCCACCAGGGGAATATGAATGGAGTGAAATGTTCCAAACGGCCTGGGTTATAGCAAGCAGGCCACAAAGAGGCATGGGTGGGTGTTGTAAAGTCTCCCCCAGAGGAGTTGCATATCGTCAGGAGCTCTGACCCTGGTTCAGATCATCTGGGGTCTGAGTCCTGGCGCTTCCATCTTGAGCACACCTGTCTCAGATCTGAGTATCAATCACAAGCCCTCCTCCCCATGTGACCTTGGCCAAGTGACTTCGCCTTCCTGATCCTCATTCATCAAATGGGGATGACAGCACTGTCTGTATCACAGGGTTCGGGGAGGATGAGATGCCATACAACCATGAAAGCATCCTGATCCCCACTCTTTCAGGGCATCATTTAAGGATTGTATGAGATGGTATCGCTAAGCATGTAGAATGGCTCCTGGCACATAGTGAGTGTTAGAGAAGGCTGGCAAACTTAGGATTGCCATCTACAAGTTTGAGATGGGGAAACGGAGGCGTGGGGAGATTACAGAAGTGGTCCAAAGTCACATGGCTACGTTTGACCCTGGTGGTCAGGCTACAGAGCCTCCATACCTAATCGCTGCATGCATCATCTCCACACCTAATACTGCATCCAGTCTGTACCAGGTCATCCACTCCATGGTTTATGTATACATATATACAAATAAGATCACCTGGGATCACCGAGAGGCAGTCAGCCTACGTCAGCTCCTCCATCTCCCTGCTCCTCCCTCTGGAGGAGACGCAAAAGTCATCCTTGATTCTTCCCGTTGCCCTCACCCACCTACATCTGGTCCAGTCTATCTCCAAATATATCCCAGGTCTACTGTTCTTGTCCAGAAGAGCCCCAGCGTTCCCATCTGATAAGCAGGACTATAAAACCCAGCCTCACAGGGCCGGTAGAGGATATCCTTTAGGAAGATACTTAATATGAATGACTCTGTGTATGGCAAACACAGCCTCTAACATGCATGGGCAGTCCTGGCACACGGTCAAATCCTTATGCCCACCCCCCTCTGCTCAGACCTCATCTGGGCCCCCCGGACCACTGTGACTGGTCCAAGCCACCACGGGCAGGCTTCTCACTGGAAGTCGGAATTCCTGCCTTTGTCCAGCACCCACATAGCTGCCAGAGAGATCTTGTTAAATCCCAGGTCAGATCCTGTCTCTCCGTGTAAAGTCCTCCAATAGCTCCCCCATTTCAAGAGCAAAAAACAAAAGTCATTCCAAGGGCCTACAACAGCAATTCTCAGAGTGTTCCCGGAGCCGCATCATGAGCATTGCCTGGGATCTTGACAGAAATGTCCATTTCTGGGCCCTACCTTGGACCTGCTGGTCAGAGGCGGTGGGGTCCAGAAATCTGCATTTTAAATAAGCTCCCAGGGGATTCTGATGTATGCTGGGCCTTGAGGACCACCTGTCTATGAGGATAGCTACTTGGGAGGCTGAGGCAGGAGAATGGCGTGAACCCGGAAGGCGGAGCTTGCAGTGAGCCGAGATCGCACCACTGCACTCCAGCCTGGGCGACAGAGTGAGACTCTGTCTTAAATAAATAAATAAGTAATTAAATTAAATTTAAAAAAAGAAAACTATCCCCCCTTTCTCTTCCCCTTCTCTGTTTTCCTCCACAGCAGGGATCACCAACTGACATACTAAGATACTAAGATATTTTATTATGTTTGTTGTCTGTCTCCCCAGACTCCGCCCCAATATAAGCAACCCGAGGACGGGTGCTTTGCAGTTCTGTTCACAGCTGTGTTCCCAGGGTTGTTCCCGGCACATTCAGTAAATATCATTGAACGTATTGCACCAGCTTCTCCCGGCCTCCAGACTCTCCCTCTGGGCCATCTTCCACACGACCCCAGAGGGTTCTTTCTACACCCAGAGCTGCCCCTACTTCTCCGCTGTTCACACTCCTGCTGCAGCTCCCCAGTGCCCTGAAGAAAGAGACTCAAAACTCTGACTTTTTCTGCTGAACTCTGCACCTGGGTATCTAGCTGCCTCCTAAACGTCCCTGAGACTCCTCGAAGTCACTACATTCTAACCCAGCTCATCCTCTGCCCCCGGCTCTTTCTCTCAAGCTCCTTACTTCAGTGATGACCCACCGCCCTACAGGCACGGAGCAGGGCCTGTCTCAGACGCTGTTCTTTAGGCTTCCCCGAACAGCCCAGCAGACCTAACTCTGGCCCTGGGCCGCCTTCTCCACCTTCACAGCCCCAGCCCCAGCCCCCACTCAGGCCTCCGCTCTGGCCTGGACCCTCACCCAGCCTCTTCTCTCTCCCCTCCAAGTTTGTCCCACATGCGGCCCCACAGAAGGCTTCCACTCCCAGATCCAAAGGTTCCTGATCTTTTTAAAAGCTTCTGTGACTAGGCAGGCTAAGTAGGGAGAAAGCGCATTTCCTGGAATCCTGCACACCCCAGATGGAGAGCTTTAGGGCCTCAGATCTCCCTTTAGGGTGGAGGTGGGGGAGCCACTGCTGACACCTTCTCCAGGCTGGCCCTGGATGCCCCCTGGGTGGATGGGAATCTTCCCTCTTCCGGGATCTTTGACAAGGCGCTTGGAGGGCAAAGCAGGAAGCAAAAGGAGCGACTGTGGGTGTGGGAATAAGCCCTGAGCTCCTGGATCTAAGAGGAAGCCGGTTTATTCTACAGCGCAGGGCTCTGTAACTCCTGCAACTCTGAGCCTCCACAGTTCCAGGGTCTGGCACGCTGTGGGGATCATGGCCATGGTGACCTGGCATGATTACTGCCCATCGACCACGTGTGGCCCCCAGTCCTGAGGTCTCTTCGCACAGCCACACACCTCAAGGCTGTCGCGTGTGCCTGTCTCACCAGGACAGTCACACCTCGTCTCTCTTCACTGCTGTCACCTGAGCGATCCACTCTGCTGTTCCTGTTTTCCTGCCCTCTAATTGCCTCACATCTCAAAATGTGGAATCATTTTATAAGAAATCTGTGTGTGTGTGAGTGTGTGTGTGTGCGCGCGCGAGTGTGTGTGTGTGTTCTATCCTAGAGGAAGATGCCTTCCCCAAGGTCAGGCTCATCAGGCACCCCAATTTCCCCCTGCCCTCCCCGGCCGCTGAGCTCTGTGGCCATCCTAGGAGGCAAGAAGATTGTCCCACTCTACAGATGGGTAAGTTGAGGCCAGGAGAGGGGCAGTGACCCACCCAGAACTTCATAGGCAGTTAAGATTGTGAGCCATGCAGCCATGGCAGAACTTATGCCTACCGGACCCCATCTGGCCTTCCAGCTCTAGACAATTTCTGCAGCGTCCCTTCCCCCTCACCACCTTCAGCCCCTGGCTCTTAGAGCTACCTTCAGCCTTTGCTTGGACAAGTAGCTGAGCTCAATGGCTTCCCAGCTTTCCCCTCCCAGATCACTGCCCAACTCTGGGGGCCTCCTTCCTCTGCACCTGGGTATCTAGCTGCCTCCTAAACGTCCCTGAGACTCCTCGGGCCCTCACACATACCCATTTCTTGGAGGCTCCAAGTCCACATCTCCCATCTCCCCATCCGCACACACTCACCCTGGGCAGCAGCCAGCTCCTGCAGGGCATGGGTCATCTGGGTGAAGGCGTCATGCAGGTGGCTTCTCTCATCATAGTCTGGCGGTGAGGGAGGGAGCAGGGGCTGGGGGAGGCAGCTCCCCACACCACCATGTCCCTAATGGGAACATTCTGTCTCTGAGTCTCTGCCCTCCCAAGTCTGTATCCTTCCCTCTCTTGACTCTCTGCCCCACAGTCGCTATGCTTCCTGAGTCCCTCCCAAGTCTCTATCGTCCCCTCTCTGTGAGTCTCCATCTTCCCTGAGTCTCTGCCCCCGACCAGTCTCTACCCTCCTTCCCTAGTCTCTGCCTCATCTCTATCCTCCCCTTTCTGGGTCTCCATCCTTCTCTGAGTCTCCATCCTCCCCTCTCTGGGTATCTGTTCCCTCTCCAATCTCCATCCTCTCCTGTCTATCTCTTCATAGTCCCCTCTCTGAGTCTCCATCCTCCCCTCTCCCTGTGACTCTCCATCCTCCCGAGTGTCCATCTTCCCCTCTCTGACTCTCCATTTTCCCGAGTCTCCATCCTCCCCTCTGACTCTCCATCCTCCCCTCTCTGAGTCTCTGCCCTGCTGTCTTCCCCTGTCTGTGTCTCTCTGTCCCTAAATCTCTGTTATTCTCATGGTCTTTGAGCCTTTCTCCTCTGACTATTTCTCTCTGCCTGTCCCTCAGCCTGACCCTCTGGGCCTCTCTGGTTCCTCCCTCTGCACCTTCCCCAGGACACTGATGATGGTCTCCTCACTGATTTCGGTGTCAGAGAGACCCCGGAAGGCGGCCGTGAAGGCCTCCTCACACTCTTCGAGCTTGGGGCCCCGCATGCCAACAAACATCTGACAGATGCGGAGGCGCTCAGAGTAGGTTGTGAAGCAGAGGAGACAGGCCCAGGCGGGCACCCTGAAGACAGCCAGGGCCAGCAGGGCAGACAGGACGGCACTGGCCAGGGCCAGCAGGGCCATCGTGTGGGTCTCAAGGCCAGGGGAGAAGCTAGTAACCTTTATGAAGTCACCACAGGGTGGGGGAAGGGCCAGTGGTTTAGGGTCAGAGGTCAGGTTTCAGTTCGGGGTCAAATGTCATGCTCTGGAGGAAGCGTATGAGAAGTCAGGGGTCAGAGGTCAGGCCAGCAATTCCCCAGGTGTACGGTTGGGCCAGACGCCAGGCTCCCAAGAACCTCACCTGTGACCCTGGATGTCCTCACAGGTTAAAGGGTCTCAGGGACCCAGAGACTGGCAATATGGTACGCAGTGGCCCGGGTAGGCCCTGGGGTGGGGGTCAGAGATAGAGATGGGTACAGAGACATTCCGAGAACCAGAGACAGAAAGACCAAAAAAGACAGAAACAGAGACACGGAGAGATATCGGGAGGGGCAGAGACCTAGAAAGCCAGAATAAAAGGGAGTCGGAGGATCCACTGTGAAAGAGACGCAGAAGTCACAGAGACACAGCGGAGACGGAGAGACAGACAGGGAAGGAAAACAGATTTCAGGGGAAGGAGGGGACGCAGCGACAAGGACAGAAAAGAGCCTGGCTCCTCCTCCCAGGGTCCCTGGGGCAGCCCAGTGGGGCTAACGGTCCCCGAGTGGGGCTGGGGGTCCCCGCCGGGCCCCGTCCCGTGCAGGGCGCAGCCTGGGGAAAGCTAGGAGGCCGTATAGTGATCTCCTTGGGTGTCCTCCTCAACTATACAACCTCCTACCTCAGCCCGGGGGGCGCGGCAGGCGGACAGACCCGACAGACAGACAGACAGGGACCAGGAGGACCAGGGAGTGGGGGGGAGGGCCGGGGAGGCCCCAGCCGCGATGGTGAGCCCCCGACACGGACCCACAGACACGAGCTTGTGTGCGGCGAAGGCCCCGCAAGGTCGGTTCTACGGGTGGGTGCCAGGACCCAGGAGTCCGGGCCCCCGGCCCCTCCTCCCCAAGGTACCCAGGAGTCCAGGCCCTCAGCCCCTTCCTCATCAGGGACCCTGGAGTCAAGGCCCTCATCCCTCTCCTCCCTAAAGAACCCAGTAGTCCAAGCCCTTACCAGAGACCAGAGTCCTCATCAGAGTCCTCACCAGAGATCCAGGAATCCAGGCCCCTGGCCCTTTTCTCCCCAAATGTTTCTGGAATCCAAGTACTCAGCCCCTTCCTCCCTCAGACTCATGAGTCCAGATCCAAAGCCCCCTTCTCCCCAGAGATCCAGGAGTCCCCGCCCCCAGTCTCTCCTCCCTTGGGCCAGGCAGGCCTCCTGGGGAAGGCATGGCCTGATAGAAAACCTGGCTTCCTGGGTGCCGGCTGGGAGAGAACCTCATCTGTCTTGGAATTTAGCCCTTTGGGCACACCTGCTTCCTACCCACCCTCCTGTCAGTCTGCAGAGACTCCGTGCCCAGGGCCAGGACGCCAGGGGCTAGCCAACCGTCAAAGCCTCCCTGGGTACTTTCTTTCCTCTCTCCTCTCTTCTTTGGGTCATTTATAATGACAGCCACAATCTCCCAGCGCTGACCCCATACCAGGCCCAGAGCACCAGTCCTCTGACACCTCCCAGTCCAGACAGCCAGGTGCCTTTAGCATCCCCATTTGGCAGGTGAGGGGGCTGAGCCTCAGAGAGGGGAAGAGGCTCCCAAAGTCGGCCTGCGAGAGGTGGGCGGTGGACCCAGCATCCACCCTCCCCACCCCTGCGCTCAGAGCCCCTCCAGCTGGGGTCTCTCCCGTGCCCAGTCCCTCCTCCTGGACTGTCCGGTTCTAGCTGCCCCCGCTCCAGCCGCACCTTCCCGTTCCTTCCTCGCAGTCCAGGTCTCTCTGGCCCTGCCTTTTTTTCTCTCTCCCTCTTTCTTTCCACCTTCCCTGGTTCCTAGCCTCCTCCTGCATCAGGACATCCCTCCCTGGCTCTGCGCTGGCTTCTCTCTCTCTCCCCATCGCCTCTCTCCTCTCCCCGCTCCTGTTTTCTTCCCTCTCTCCCCCTTTCTCCTTCTTTTCGTCCACCTTCTGTCTTTCATCCTCCCCTTCTCTCCCTTCCCTCTCTTTGTCTCTCTCATTCTCTCTGGCCCTCTCAGTCTCTGTCTCTCTCTCGTCTCTCACCCTTCTCCACCCCCTTTTTTCAGATGTCTTTCCTCACTTCCTCTCCTTCCACCCCTTCCCTCTCTCCATCCCTCACCTCCCTCCTTCCTGCTCTCTCTCAGTCTCTATCTCTCTCCCTTTCTCTCCCTCTCTCTCTCCTTCCCTCCCTCTTAGGTCTCTCTCTTTCCTCCCCTCCCCCTTCTCTCTTTGGGTCTCCCTCCCTTCTCTCTCTTTCTCCTTCTCTCTCTCCCTCCCCCTCGCAGCTCGAGCCAGGTCTGGAGCTGGGGGTGGGGTGGGGGTGGTTTGAGAAGGGGCCCAGGGCTGGGGTAGCGACCTGCTGAGGAGGGGGAGGAGAGGCGGGAAAGGGGCGGAGAAGGAAAGGGGGAGGCGGGGGGGCCGGAGACGGGTCTATGGTCCCACCTCTCGTCCCCCTTCCCTCTTTCCCAACCTCCCAGACCCTCAGGCGGGGGCGAGAGTCAGGCCAAGGTGGGGAGGAAGGGGAAGGGAGGAGGCTGCCCCCGCCCCCCCCCCACCAACCTGGCCCGGAGCCCAGGCCTGGGTTCCCAGCATGCCCCGGGGCTGCCTGGGGCCTGAGGAGGGGGGTGAGGGGAGAGGGGAAGCCGAGAATCTCAAAGATTCCCGGGACCTAAGCATCTCCCCAACCCGTCAACCAGTGTTTCCTTGGGGAAACTGAGGCGGAAAGAAAAGGGTTAGGACTTGTTCAAGGTCACTGGACAAGGCATTGGTGGAAACGCGAACTCCCTGGGCCCACAGGCCGGCTTTGGGGAAGGGGTAGGCTCTGGACTTCCCCCAGGCTTAGGTCCCCCTCCCCCTCTCTGCGGACCCTGGGGAGCCCCCAAGGGTCAGAGAGCAGACCCAAACAGTCTGGCACCATGGTAACCAGCTGGCCCCGCCCCCTTAACCCCTGGAGGGCTGGACTCCAGCTGGGGCTAAAGAGGAGGTGGGGACTCCTGGGTTCCGGGGGAGGAGGGGCCTGGGGATCCCCAGAACTGCAGGCTTCAAAGGGAGAAAGATGCCAGCGCCTGGACGCTTGGGTTCTAGAGGAGCAGAGGGTTGGGGGCCGCGCTCTTTGGGAAGAGGGGCTGAGGTTCTGAACTCTGGGGTTTTGAAGGAGTTAGGGGCTGGAGTGTGGATTCCCTGGTCTGAGAGAACAGACTAGGGCTCACACTCCTGGATCCTGGAAAAAAGGGGGCTGGGGGCTCGGATTTTGGAATGGGTGGGGGAATGGGTGGGGGACTGGGTGGTGTACTCCCAGGTCTGAGGGAGGAGGGGGCTGGGACTGGAATCCCGGGTCCCCCAGGGAGCATGGATGCTGGGCCTCTCCTCCTCCAGACATCTCCTGCCCCCGCCGCTGACCCTGGCCTGTCTGGCAGCCCAGACAACCTCCCCCTCCTCCTCGGCCCCCTCCCACTGGCACGGCTCACCCTTGACCCCTCAAAGCCCCGCAGCCCCATCCCTGCCCCTCCCCCTCCCCTCCGGCCAGACGTTAACTCTTCCTCTGCCGCAGGCACTCCAAAGTCAGACAGTCTTCCTCCACCTCCCCCGAGGGCTCGGGCAGCTCGCCCCTAGTCTCCTCCAGCCAGGATCCTACCAGCCCCAGCCCCCATCTCTGTCCTCCCTCTTGAATCTAGGAGGTGTCCCCAGCTTTCTCCAGCTTCTGGACCCCGGAATTCAGGTCCCAGCCCCCTCCTTCAAGGATTCTGGAGTCTGAGCCACCCCCCCCCCCCCCCCACCCCCAACTCCTCCTCCAAGAACCCAGAAATCCAGGCCCCCGGGTGCTCCTCCCTCAGGGACCCAGGAGTCCAGGCCCCAGCCCCCCAACCTCCCTTTCCGCAGACTCACGGCTCCCGCGGCTCCCGCGTCGCAGGGAAGGGTCTTCGCCGCCGCCCCGGGCCCGTAGGCCGGGCCCCAACGCTGCCGAGCGCTCTCCATCCTCTCCCCGCCTTCGCCGCCCGGCGGCCTCTCCCCTTCCTCCCGCCGTCCCCACCATCCTCCTTCCCTTCTCCCCGACTCCCTCCGGCCGGCGCCTCCTCCCCGGCTCTGCGGCCCGGGGCTCCCCCTCCCCAGACCCCGCCGGCGGCGCGGCCGTGGGACCAGCCCCCTCCCCAGGGGGCCCCCCGCCCCGGCCCCTCCCCACCGCCCAGCCCAGTCCGGCCTGGCTTCCCCCCTGCCCCGGAGCTGGCCCAGGTCCAGGGGAAAAAATTCCATCCAGCCCCGGGGAGGAGGAGCGGGGCGGAGGAGGGAGCGGGAGGGGGAGGCCGGGCCAGGGGAGCCTGACGCAGAGGAGGGAAGGGACAAAAGAGGCCGGGAGGCGGCGGCGGCCGGCGCTCCCGCCTCGCCCGCCCTCCTCCCTCGGCCAGTCTCGCTCCTCCCCGGCTTCCCTAGGTCCCCTCCGCCTCTCCGCCCTGTCCTGTCCCTCGCTGGCCTCCCTCCCTCTTCTCTCCTGCGCCTCCTCCTCCTCGCTCTGTGCGTGCTCTCTCGCTCCCTCTCTCCCTCCCTCCTCCCTCTCTTTCTCTCTTCTCTCTCTCTCTCTCTCTCTCTCGCCCTCTTTCCCTCCTCCTCTCTGCTCCTGTCATTCTTGGTTGCTTTTGCCACCTCTCTGTCTCTTTCCGTCTGTCCTCCCTTATGTCTCTGCACATCTGTCCTTCCTTTCGCCCTCTCCCGGTCTCCATCCTCTTTCTCTGCCTGTGGGGCTTCTGTGTCTCCCATTTATTCTTCCCTTTTCTCTGTTTCTCTCCCTCCCTCCCTGTCTCTGTGTCTCTGTTCTTCCTCTCTCTCGCTTTCTCCTCCCCTCTCTCCCTCAACCAGTCAGGGTCTGCCCTTCTCTCTCTCCCCCTTCCTGCTCTCCCAGCTTCCCCCCCACCAGCTTTGGTCTCTCCACCCCCCCACCCCCACCCACTGGGGACTCAAAGGTGAATCAGACCTGAATCTGCCCTTGCAGATGGAGCTCACAGTCTGATGGAAGAGACAGAGCCAGCCGCAGACAGTCCCAATTCCGGGTGATCAGGGTATGACACAGGGAGAGGCCAGAGGCTGTGAGAGTCCAGAGCGGGAGGAATCCTGGCAGCTGGAGACGGCAGAGAGGACCTCCAGAGAAGGCGTGGTTGTGGCATGACCTCCACTAAGGCCCTTCCAGGCAGAGGGCACAGCTGAAGCAAAGGCCCAAGGCACGAAACCAAGGAGGTGCTGGGAGGACAACAAAGCCCTTAAGTCTGACTAGAGCCTCCGAAGCCATGAGCCAAGGAGCACAGGAGATGAGGCTGGGACGAGCGGGCGGGGTCAGATTCTTAGGGAGTTTCAGGCCATGCTGGGAACTTCGCCTTCTGAGGGTGACAGGGAGTCCTGGAAGGTTGTGCGCAAGGGGCGGGGACAGGATTATATCTGAATGTCAGACCCCGCTAAGGCTGTGTGGACTGGAGGGGGAGAGACTGGTGGAGGCTGGGGAGGAGGCCCTCTCCCTGCAGTTTGCGGGCTAGGACCTGGGGAGAGAGGAAGGGGTGGGGCAGGAATGTGAGGAGCTGGAGATGGCTGGAGACTGCTGGGCAATGGGGGCAGAGAACAGGAACCTGTGGGCGGGAAGCAGGTAGCAAAGCAACTCCCTGACTCTGGCCCAGGAACGGATGGGGCAGGAGTTGCTTCCAATGGGGAATCAGGAGGAAGAAGAGGGTAGAGAGATGCTGTGGGCAGCTGAGAACTTAGTGGACATTAAGAGCCAGGGACATTTAGGGAAAACATTCAGGATGCATGGTGCTGGGCTTTCAACAGTGCACCTCCCCCTCTCCCTATCCTCCAGCCACCCAGTTCTCTCTGGGGATAGCATATATTCACTAATTTCTCATGTATCCTTCCAGAGGAATTTTATACATCTATGCACATATATACCATCCTCCTGTTTTCTGTCCCCAGATAGGATCACAGTATTCTGCACATTTTTTTTTTTTAACATGAAATCCAAAGATCCTCCCATATCTAGGCTTATAGAACCTCCTCGTTCATTTTAATAGCGATATAATATTCCATTGTATTCATCTATTTATTCCTAGTGTATTCAGTTAATTGGGAGATTGGAAGGTTTTTTTATGTCAAGAAACTAATGCGTATGCATATTCAAATTTGCTTATTTATTTATTTATTTATTTTTGAGACAGATTGTCCAGGCTGGAGTGCAATGGCATTGTCTCAGATCACTGCAACCTCTGCCTCCCAGCTTCAAACCATTCTCCCACCTCAGCCTCCCAAGTAGCTGAAACTACAGGCGTGCGCCATCAGGCCCGGCTAATTTTTGTATATTTTGTAGAGATGGGGTCTTGCCATGTTGGCTGGACTGGTTTTGAACTTCTGACCTCAAGTGATCCTTCCACCTTGGCTGAGCCACCGCACCTGGCCCAAATTTGCTGATTTTTAAAGTGATTTTGTCCAATGCTTTTAAGCCTCTAAACCCAGATATTCGATAAATGCTTACTTCTAGATCCTTTAAAATTTAATTATTTTAAATTATTATTAACAATGGGATAATAATAATGACAACAGATACTGTTTATTGAATGACTACTGGGAGCCAGTTCCTGGAATGAGTATTTGTTATACATTATATCATTGATTGCACAGAAACCTTATTATTAGAAACTATTATTATCCCAGTTGTAAGGATGGAATACTGAATAAGATGCGGTTCTGAATAGGGAGTTGCCCAAGCTCACAAAGTATGTGATAGAGCTAGAGATTCAAACCCAGGCCTCTCTGGCTCCTTCTTTGGGGTGGGCTGGCTCTGGGAAAATATGCTGTTTCTAAGGATTGACACTAGGTACATTTAAACTTGTCATGCACACAAATTCATGTATGATTAAGAAGGACCCTTTGTCAGACCCCTCACT